GCCCAAGGGTTGTGGGCCCAGTGCCCCATCCCAGCACTTCATGGTGGCATCTTCTGCTCCTGGCACTGTGTCCAAATGCCCATGGTCCTTGTCCTTCCCCTGTGGGTGGAAAATGAAATTTTAGTGCATCAGCAGAACCACAACCATGGCTCCATTATCAACAAAGGACAGATTTTCCACTCTGAGTTCAGTAGTGCCTTTTTAGGAGGGATTCAGATGGGGGACTTATTGATTACTATGCTATTTGAGATTCTAGGGTTGTTCCCTAGAATTGACACAGAATTGACAAGGGCACTAGTAGGAAGAACTGGAGATCCTGAAACAGAGGATGTGGAGTCAGGTTTCAACAAATGCACAACATCCTGGCTGGATATGATACTTATTTGGAGATATAGTGGTCTCTGGCAGCATCTCAACAGACAAGTTGGCCTGGTGAGGAATTTCCAGGCTAGGCCCTCAGGGGACTGGGATGGACAACTCAATTACAGACATAGAAGCATGCAGGATCTAACCCAGGCTCATTGATCCAAGTCACCCCTGGCTCTCTGTATATCTAGGCCTCCTCTTACCTGGGTTCCTCCTCCTCTGGTGGGGGAGCCCTGGGACCCCCTGCTGCCTTTCACATTCTGGGTTTCATGAGTCTGTGTGGCTGAGGCTGTGTGGAAAGACCCATCCACAGCCTCATCTCCTTGTAGTCAGGTCTGCCTTCCTCAGGGGCTTGCTTTTAGAATTTTCTGAGTTACAAGGAAAAGAAAGGAAAAATGTCATATTCACAGAGAAACAAATACTTTCTTCCCCTGTACACTGAGCAGAACTCATGACCACAGAGTCAAGGCTGTTACCCACAATGTGATGTCCCTTCCCCAGATGTTTCTCCATTCTCTGCTGTGGCCACATGGTCCAGGAACAGGACCCTGCCTTAAACTAGACACACTGCATGGGAATGTAATGATCGATTTGCACCATGAGTGGCTGATTCTAGAGAACAGGCACCTCTCTGTGGTGGCACAGTGTCAGTGCCAGGAGAGGAAGTGATTTTCCTGAGTGATGAGATAACCATGGCCATGAGGACTGGTATACTTAATGCTCTTAGACACCTATTTGAAAACCGCAAATGCAGTGTGGTTTTCCTGCTTTATTTTCATTGCTACCTTTGAGGTCAGAGTAGACAGTTTTCAGGGACAATGTCCCAAAAAACATCTATTTTCTTTTATACTTAAACCTGAGCTCCTGATTGTGATTCTTATGTGCTGGCTTAACATTACTACCCTGCTATTTAGCTAGTTTCTAATAAATATGAAATCAATGTATTTGAACTAGAATTGAACAAAGGACATATTTATACTTGACATCTCCATGTGATATATTAGGCCCCCAAATCAAGAAGTGACAGATTCAAAATATTGACATACTACCCTGCATTTTCATGATCATAATGGGATAAAGATATAAATAGCAACAAACACGGACATTTGATTAAGATATGGAAATAGAGTGACTGCTATTCAAGAAACAGTTAATCTTTGAAAACCGAAAGGGAGAAATTTAAAAATGTTGTTAGCCTAAAGGAAATGGGGTAACAATATAGCAAAACCTGCGGGATGCCACAATAGGAAGCACTAAAAGGAAAGCTACTGGCAAGGAGTGCCTAGATAAATATATATATATATGTAAATATAACGGATAAGTGGTCTCCAATAAGTAGACTAAGGAGGCTCCCAAACCTCTGAAAGTAGAAAAAAATAAAATAATAAATATCACAACAGATGAATAACACAAACAACTGTTGTGATGACATAATAAATAAAGTTGAAAGGCCTTTTGCTACAAAAACCAGAAAATATAAATACAAATAAAATAACAGAGGAGAGGCAGGTGATCTGAATAAATTAGAGGTGACTGGAGACATTACAACTGACACCAGAGAAACTAAGAAAATCCTGAATCATGAGGAATTCTTTTTGTCTTTCACTCTCTCTCTCTCACTTTCTCTCTCACTCTCTGTTTCTCTCTCTCTCGCTCTCTCTTTCTCTCTCTCTCTCTCTCTCTCTCTCTCTCTCTTCCTTCCCTGTTAATCAGACCCCACCACAATAAAGATCTCTTGGTCACTCCAAGTGTCATGGTCACTTTCCTTTCAGAGCCAACCTTCACCTGTTTATTTACCAAAACTGAGGAGGACACAAGAGAAAAAGCAAAAATGAACTAACCACTGACATTTAGCCATGAAAAAGGAAATCCTGTCAACGTCAAGAGCTTTCCTGGAACTGGAAGATGCCACATTCTACACTCTGAAAGATAAGGCTCCAGGGCTGGGCTGTAGCTCAGTGGTAGATCGCTTGCCTTGCAGGTGTGAAGCCCTGGGTTTGATCCTCAGCACCACATAAAAGTGAATAAATAAATAAAGATTTAAAACATAAAAGGCTCCAGTGTTTTCTCTCATGTGTGGAAACTAAAGGAAACAGATGAAGAGAAGGGATCCCCAAGGATTGGGAAGGGTGTGGCCAGGGTGAGAGATGGAAATTGAAGACAGAAGAAGGGGAAATGAGTAGAAGGGTGGATGAACAGGGGAAAGCTTGACATGTGCATGGATGAAACTACCAGGATGAAGCCCATTAATTTGTTCAATTTACAGTTTAAAAGGCCCAGGGCAAAAACAACCAGTTTCCATAGAACTCCTCCACCTCCCCATAGAGCCCAGAATGCTGGAGTAGGTTTCCTTTGAAATTTGAATCTTCCTGCAGTCATTAGAATGTTGAGTGATTAACATTATCTTTCTCAATGCAAACACCCCTGTTTAAAATGAAGTGAGGCTTACCCAAGGAGCTACACCTCCATCATTTCCTGTGTTTCCTCTACTCTTTTCCCCAGCCATAATCTGAAGAACCCATTGGGAAAAGAATCCAACCTGAGGTCCATCTGTCCATCCCTAGTCTGTCAGCAGGTGGCTGCTGGGCAAACACCACAGGAGCAGAGTCAGCTTCCTAGATGTCACAGAAAAGGAAGGGACATTGGATACTGCCCTGGGGCCACGGGATCACATGCCTTGTCTAATGCAATCAGCCTAATCCCTGTGGACATTCCTGTTAAAAAATGTCTCACACATTTGCATCTCAGTTCTGTATTCTATGTATCTGATTTGGAAATCATTGGGTCCTGGATCAATGTTACTTACCTTGACATCTATGTAAACCTTTCTGGGCTAATACTGTTAGACCACAACGCAAGAAAAGACCACTGACTCCAATTAAAGTCAAATTAAAGCAAGCTTATTATTTTGACCGGCAGGGCTGCCTTGCCCCTCAAAATTGGGGGAGCCAAGGACAGACCCGAGGCTTCTTTGTGGACCAGTTTTATAGCGCAAGAAGTTACACAAAGGGGGGGTTACAGATAACAACACTCTGAAGAGCATAACACAAGTTTACATTTTTGCTGGCCCCGGCATCAGAATTTATGGAGATCTTAGAGACTCAGAGAGGGTCGTTATCCAGCCAGGGAAGGCCAGAATATATGAGGCATCACTAAGGTTTAGGAAAGGGTTGTTATATGGTCAGGGAAAACCGGACCTGGGTGAGTTCAGGGTGCGGGCAGGTATTCCAATCATCTTTACAACATCAACTAATGGCTAGGCCATACAGACATCCTGATATTTTTACAGAAAACAGAAATGAATCCTTCATAACTTGTGACAAGCTGCCTTCTGATCAAATGAGATAACTAGGCTAGGTATATCATTCCCCCCTTTTCTGATGTGTCCCTTTCAAATCTTTGATAGGGAGCAACCAGTAACGTCAGCAACATATGTTAATACTGTCGGTGGTACATAACAGAATTGAGTTGTATCCCTATAAACCTGAGCACATAGTTAATAATGCATGGGACAATAACTAATAGGAGAAGAATACAAATGATAGGACTTGCAAGAGAAGTTAACCATGGAAACCAGTTTTTTAGGTCTGGCCAAAAGTTGTCCATTTGAATCTTGTTTATTTCCTTTTTCATTTCATCTATCTGTTGTTGAATAACATTAGAATAGTCAGTAATATTAAAACAGCACATGCCTGGGAATTGTTGGCAGCCCAAATGATGTTTCAGTAGCAGAAAGTCAGTAGCTGCTCTATTTTGTAGTACTGAGGTTCAGAGTTCTTTCATCTCTTGATTAATTTCTGCTAAAACTTGTGCTGTAAGGTTAGCTGTTTTGCTAAAACTACAGGCTAATTTAGTGATTTCTCTTTGAATTCCTACCATTAGTCCCGGGACTGGTAGAATGAAAGCTGCCGCAATTGCAACGTCTAGTGGATCCAGGAGGATTACACTGTCATTGCAATTGGGGGGCAGACTTCGGATAACTCGGTGGGGAGATGCCAGGGATGGCAGTAAAGGAAAAATCCTCCCAACAGAGCAGATTCCAGAGAAATTGGTAGGCAACGCTTGGACGGTTGTCTTATTACAGAGAAAAACCCATCCTTTAGGAAGTCGTTTGCCATTGGGTAGGGAGATATATTGTTCAATAGAACAATTTGGTGGGGATCGAGGAAGGGTGCAGTCTATGCATAGACAATGTTTCTGGACAATTAGTGAAGCCGGCAAGGCTGACTCTATACGAGACACAGGCCAGCTTTGCTGTGTAACTCTATCCCCAGTCACCTAAACATAGTCATCATATTTTATAGACAGGCCCATAAGATTATTAGCTAACAATTGATGGACTGAGCTTCCTTCTTGTATGCAGAAGGAACTTTTGTTCATAGTATCAACAACCAATTGTAGCCAGAAGTTCTGGTTATTTACAGACTCTAGGGGGCTCACAGAAACATCCACATTTAAAGTGGCACTTGAATAGACAGTGTCCACCAGGGCTCCCTTTTTAAGCTTAACACAGGAATATTGCCCTGAATCTCGTGGGTGAGCTGAGTATTTATAGATTCCAAAGTTTATATCATCTCTTTGGGACTGATCTGTGAGGTTTTTCCATGGTCCCTCCCTGAAGATCTGACTAAAAACTTCTTGGTTATCTTTATACCATCTGATAGGGCCGATTATTGGATCCTGACAGGAGTAAGTGCAATTTAATATTAGTGGGGATCCTGCAATGGCAGGTCCTACCTGGGCTACAGAAGGGGTGCAAGGTTCGTTGAAACTGGCATAGCTAAAACCCAAGAATACATATATATTACAACAAGTGAAAAACATTAGCATAATGTTTACAATGACAAGGAAAAAAATGAGAAGTTAATGACAAAACATTAACCCTTAAAAATTTTAATTTTAAAGGGTCCACGTTTAGTCACTCTCCACCTTTGGTTGCTTGATTCTCCTCCAGTGGGTTCTGCAGGTGCCTTCTTAAGCTGTGAATGGTGAATCCATGCAGGAATGCCAGCAACTTTGAGGACAGTGGGAGTGCGGAGAATCATGATGTAAGGGCCTTTCCACATGGGTTCAAGACTGTTGGTTTTTAACCATCTTATCAGCACAGCATCTCTAGGCTGGAATGAATGATCAGGCGATCTGTGTCCCATGTGTTGAGCAGCCTGGACCTGAGGAAAGATCTTATCCATGATTAGTTGTAACCCTTTAAGTGCCTCTGAGACTGGAATGTCTCCCAGCAGATCTAGATGTATTCTGGGAACCATAGGCGGTGTCTGCCCATATATTATTTCCTAAGGGGTAAATTTTTCCCGATAAGGAGTACAACGGGCCCTCAGCAGGGCAAAAGGCAGGAGATCAACCCAGTTACCACCAGTCTCAAGAATTAATTTAGTCAGTGTTTCCTTCAATGTTCTATTCATCCTTTCTACTTTCCCTGAGCTTTGAGGATGATACATACAGTGTAATTTCCAGTTTATATTAAGGGCCTTTGAAATCAATCGAGATAATTTGGCCGTGAAGGCCGGGCCATTGTCAGACCCCAAAATTAGAGGGAGGCCAAATCTAGGAACAATCTCAGTTATTAGCTTTTTAACTAGTATTTGTGCTGTTTCCGTCCGGGTTGGAAAAGCCTCTACCCAGCCTGAGACAGTATCAACAAAGACTAACAAGTATTTATATCCATATAGTCCAGGTTTAATTTCAGTGAAGTCTAGTTCCCCAAATTCACCAGGTACAGTACCTTGACTCCTGTTTCCTTGTGGAAGTTGGTTCCTTTTAGCGTTTACCTGTGCACATGTCATGCATCGATTTGAGATATCTTGAAGCATCTCTCGATGTCCTGGTAGCCAGACATAGGGTGAGATCAATTCTGACATCTTCTTGGGGGAAAAATGCATGGCTTGATGAAGATTAGTTAACCATTTTCTCCCTAGTAGCTTAGGTATGCAGATTTTTTTATCTGGGAGGATCCACCAGCCATGACAGTTTTGCTGGGCCCCCATTGAGGAGTATGAGTTTATTTCTTCTGTAGTATATGACGGGGCCTCTTCCCAAAATTTAACTGGAAATTTTGGATAATTGGAGAGCTCTAGGACAGCTTGGTATTTTGGCTCTCCAAGGGCTATTTCCCTGGCTGTTTGATCTGCCAGGTTTTTACCCTGGGTCTGAGGACTATCGTCTTTGCAGTGTCCAGGCCAGTGGATAATAGCCAATTTGTCTGGTAATCAAATTGCCTCCAGTAGTTCAAGAATTTCTTGTTTATTTTTGATGGTCTTGCCATCTGAGGTTAGAAGTCCCCTTTGTTTATATATTTGTCCATGCACATGTGCTGTAGCAAAGGCATAACGGCTGTCTGTGTAGATATTCACCCGTTATCCTTTTGCCCATCTCAATGCCTGTGTCACAGCAATGATTTCTGCTTTCTGGGCTGATGAGCCCCTGGGCAGAGCCTGTACCCAAATAACTTCTTTTTGACCTGTGACTACAGCTGCCCCTGCATACCTTATTCCATCCCGGACATAGCTGCTGCCATCGATGTAAAGGTCTGCGTCTCTGACGGTGAGAGGAATGTCAGTCAGGTCTAGTCGAGTACCTTGGATGACATCCAGCATCTCTGAACAGTCATGAATTGGCTCCTCTGGATTGCTGTCCAGCAGCAGAGTCGCTGGATTGATGGCCAGGGATTTACTGAAGATTAATCTGTCTTTATCTAGGAGTAGAGCTTGATATTGAGTGAGGTGGGCATTTGACATCCAATGATTTGTGGCATCCCTCAATAGAGCTTCCACTGCATGAGGGGCAGTCACAGTTAGAGTCTGCCCTAGGGTAAGCTTGTCTGTTTCCTTCACCAGAAGTGCAGTAGCCACTATGGCTCGTAAACAAGGGGGCCATCCTGACCCTACTGGATCCAGCCTTTTTGAAATGTAGGCAATAGGCCTTTTCCATGGCCCTAGATTTTGGGTAAGAACCCCTTTTGCAATGCCCTTTTTCTCATGAACATACAGATGGAAGGGCTTAGAGATATCAGGGAGGGTTAGGGCTGGAGCCTGTGCCAGGGCCTTTTTTAGATTCTTAAAAGCTAATTCATTTTCTTCAGTCCAAACTAAGGGTGAGTTGCCCCCTGCAGTTGCAGTATATAAAGGCTTGGCAATCTCAGCAAATCCAGGTATCCAAAGACGGCAGTACCCAACTGCCCCCAGGAACTCCCTAACTTGCCTTTTAGTAGTTGGGATTGGGATCTTCATTATGGCCTCTATGTGGGCTTGGGATAGCAGCCTTTTCCCTTCCCTCAGTTCATATCCTAGATAAGTAACTCGAGGAGAACAGATTTTTGCTTTCTTTTTGGAGACTGGTACCCCAATTGAGCCAAGGTTCTCAATAAACCCTGGATGGCCCTTAAACAGTCCCTTTCATCCCTTGCTGCTAGTAAAAGATCATCCACATATTGGAGCAAGGTTATCTCGGGGTACTCACTGCGGAAGAGGCTCAAATCTTTGTTGAGTGCTTCATTAAAGATGGTGGGGGAGTTCTTAAATCCTTGAGGTAGTCGAGTCCAGGTTAGTTGTCCTGATATCCCCTGTTCCAGGTCAGTCCATTCAAATGGAAAGATGGGCTGACTCAGTTTTGACAAAGGAATGGAGAAAAAATGCATCTTTCAGATCTAATACGGTGTAGACTGTATGTTCTGGTGGCAACATACTGAGCAAGGTATAAGGGTTTGGGAGGGTTGGGTGTACAGTTTCCACCCATTTGTTTACTTCTCTTAAGTCCTGTACCAGTCTATAATCATGAGTCCCAGTCTTTTGGACCGGCAGCAAAGGGGTGTTCCAGGTTGACTGGCATCTAATTAGTATTCCCTCTTTTAGGAGACGTCTGATATGAATTTTGATGCCTTCTCTGGCTTCAGAGCTAATGGGGTATTGTCTAACCCGAATGGGCATAGCCCCAGAGGTTAGTTGGACTAAGACTGGTGGCACATGTTTAGCTAACCCCGGAGGGTTATCTTCAGCCCAAACTGCAGGAATTTCTTGGATTAATAGTTTTTTTCCATTTTCCCACTGAAGCTTGGATAGGATTTTGAGAAAGCAGATATTCCTCACTTAATGGGCATGTTATAGTTAAGGCTCTTGTAGGACTCCCCAATTGTAGTGTAGGCATCTCCCCTGAAAATGATATAGTTGCCTGAAGTTTGCTTAGAAGGTCCCACCCCAGCAATGGGAAAGGGCATTCAGGGATAACAATAAAAGAGTGAGTTCCTTGTCCTGCATCAACAGTCTGATCTGTGGTCCATCTATAATTTTTAATTTCTCCTGTTGCCCCTTGTACTTCCATAGTTTCATTAGAGAGGGGTCCTAGGGGCTTCTGTAACACCGAATATGAAGCCCCTGTATCTACCAAGAAATTTACAGGTTGGCTCCCAATTGTGAAGGTTACCATTGGCTCTCGGGAGTCTAGTTTGAAAGAGCCATGGTCCCCCTATTCTTCTAAAGTTAGAGCTGGTTTTGGCTGAGGGGCTTCAGTCTGCAGCAGGGGAAAGTCTTTTCGATTTCGTTGGGGGCAATGATTTTTCCAGTGTCCATATTCCCCGCAATAAGCACACTGATCTATTTGGAGGGGAGTCCGTCTTTTGCCCCTGCCATGTGCCGCCTGCATCTGTCTGGAATTGAAAACTTCGGGAGACCTTAGTGCAGCTACTGTGGCCCAATTTACTTTCCTTATCAGTAGATCATCCTGGCTCTCTCTGTTTTCGAACACCTTTTGGGCTATCTCCAATAATTCTGACCTATTCTTCCCTGCAAAGCCATCTATCTTTTGAATCTTTTTACGGATGTCTGGGGCTGACTGAGCTACAAAAGCCAGGTTAATCACCTTCAGATTTGTCGGGTCCTCAGGATCTATAGGAGTATATAGATGGTATGCCTCTAGGAGCCATTCCAGAAACACTGAAGGCGACTCCTCTGGGTTTTGTTTCACCTCTGCTACTTTAGAAAGATTGGTGGGCTTGCGATCTGCCCTACTAAGACCCTCTAATAGAGCCTGGTAGTAATCGCTGAGTGCTCTCCTACCTTCAGCAGTCCCATAATCCCAGTCTGGTCTTCTTTTAGGTAAAGCCAAGTTGATTACTTCCGTTTTCTCCTCATGCATAAGAGAGTTTATTCCAGGCAGCGCTTTTAGCTGCTTCTGCCAGGATTTGCTCCCTTTCCTCCATAGTGAAAAGGGTATGCAGAATCTGTTGGCAGTCATCCCAGGTGGGGAGATGATTAAAAAAGACAGAATCAACCAGGGAAATCAGGGAACTAGGATCCACACTACACGGGGGATTTTGGTTTTTCCAATTGTAGAGATCCATTGTGGGAAACGGTACATATATATAACGACCTTCTGGAACCTGGCGGAGAGGAAGGACAGGGGCAAGAGTCACCTCTTCCTCTGGGATAGAAATAGAAACAGTGCCTGCGGGTCTGCCTGGGGAGGGGATAGAATCAGGCCTTCCATAGAGGCGATCCTGTGGGGTATGGGGAGGGGATGGAACAGGGGCTGGCTTATTTGGGGAAGTGATAGCAGAAGGAGTGGTGGAATGAGGTAGTTGCAGCAGCTCAGGGGGGTGGGGAGGGAGGCGGTGGTGCAGTTTTTGCAGCTGTCTCCTTTGTTCCCCCACCAGCAGCAGGGAGATAAGAGGAGCCCCAGTGTACAGGGGGGAGGAGGAAATCCTCCTGAGCGTCCTGTAAAACAGGGCTCTTAATTGAGGGCTCCTGGGAAGTTTTTTTGGTCACAATCAGGGTCTGCCCTCCCTGTCCATTCTGGACCATACAAACCTTCATCCAAGAGGGTGGATTAGTTGTTGCTTCTGCCCAGGGTAGGATATATCCTATTTGATCTGGGTGGCCAGGGTTGTCAAGAGTGGCATTAGTTACAGCCCATGCCACCTGGGGATCAAAGGTGCCCTCAGGGGGCCAGCGGACTCCAAAGTGGCTCAAAAAAAGCTTGGAGGTGATTCTTGGTGATGGGATAATCATAGCTCTGCTTAACAAAAGAGGGGTGAAGTTTATCAAAATTCCTTAAAACACAGTTCAAAGGGCTATCAGGCTTACTTGCTTTATTACCCATTTTGACGTCCACTTTCCTTAAGTTTCACCACAGAAGTCACACAACAAAAGACAGAAAAAACATATAGAACACAGACCAAAACACAAGGAAACACAAACCCGGCACCGAAACAGAAAAACAGAGGAGCAATGCAATGTCTTGCTAAAGCTCCAGAGTAGGAGTGCCTGCTCTCTACCCTTCCAGAGGAATTCCCTACAGAACAGAACAGAAGACAGAACGATTTCTCCTTACTGTCCGGACAGGAATATATGTGAACCTCAACAGGCCACCTCTCTGTCCTCAGAAGAGATCTCCCTTAACCCAATATCAGATGTTATAAAGGCGCCACTTACCTATGGAGGCCTCCTCCACCAGATGCCTGCTAATTGTTTTAGTGCAGCAGTTCACTCCAGCTCTCCAAGGACCAAAGGCTCACCCTGGGGCCTTGGAACATCTCAAGGTGCGCACCCCCTACAGTGGCTCTCCAGCCTGGAGCCCAGGAGCGAAGGTCCCACTTCAGAATTTCCAGCAGCCTGATATTGTAGTCTGGTCCTGCAGTTTGATCTCGCTGGGGAACTCCAAAATGTTAGACCACGATGCAAGAAAAGACCACTGACTCCAATTAAAGTCAAATTAAAGCAAGCTTATTATTTCGCCCGGCCAGGCTGCCTTGCCCCTCAAAATCGTGGGAGCCAAGGACAGCCCCGAGGCTTCTTTGTGGCCCAGTTTTATAGCCCCAAAAGTTACACAAAGGGGGGTTACAGATAACAACACTCTGAAGAGCATAACACAAGTTTACATTTTTGCTGGCCCCGGCATCAGAATTTATGGAGATCTTAGAGACTCAGAGAGGGAGGTTATCCGGCCAGGAAAGGCCAGAATTTATGAGGCATCACTAAGGTTTAGGAAAGGGTTGTTATATGGTCAGGGAAAACCGGACCTGGGTGAGTTCAGGGCATGGGCAGGTATTCCAATCATCTTTACAACATCAACTAATGGCCAGGCCATACAGACATCCTGATATTTTCACAAAAAAACAGAAATGAATCCTTCATAACTTGTGACAAGCTGCCTTCTGATGGAATGAGATAACTAGGCTAGGTATATCAATACTGCTTATATACATGTTTACAAAAACAACACTCAAATAATTCTCAGGCATTTAGTGGATAAGAAATGCAAGATAATATTGAGTTTCCATGAATTTGGGTTACTGTGGTCTGAAGGATGATTTTTATGCCTCTACACTTAAATATGCATTTGTTAAAAGAAATACATTTGAGTGGTTCAAGTGTTTGTAAGAAACACATTATTGTGAGATGAATGATATGATTTCAGTTTTGCCTTTAAAAGTCCAGTTCTTTCTCTTCCTCTCTAGAGTCTGGAATAAACAATTTGTGACTTGAAAATGATGATTTTGAAAACTGGGTGGTAGACACCTCACGTGTACCTAATTTTCTAGAAGTTTTGTTAAAGACTCAAATATAGAGATGAATAAACCATTGGTGGTATACCTGAGAAATGATTTTGCAATCTGTCCTTTGGAAATCGTCTCTGGCTTCTAGATTTTGACTCCCCACTTAGTCTCCATCCTGGGTGGAGAGGTGTGTTCCATGTTTTCCTTAGAGCCCTCCACAAGCTGCACACACAGAAGGCTGTCCATTTTATAAGCCAACAGAGGTAGACAAATACATTCAAACTATGTTCCAGATCATTCCACTGAGGAATGAGATTCAACAGAGGTAAGGGACGAGAGAATGAACACGTTAGATCATTAATCTATGTAAACTATTTATGACCTGATATGAGTACTGGCATTTGGGTGGAGAAGTCTGTACATAAGATACATGAGAACTGGAAGGAACATTATCTTGAACATAATAAAAATCTTATTCCCTGCCTCCTTGATATTTCTGCCAAAGACAAGCAGACATATTCCTAAAGGACGTCCTTTTGAATTCAAAACCATCATGGAAATGTGTCAGGACACGTCCAGCATGACTTGGTTTATTGAGAAGGAAATGAAATGTATCTTGTTCTCAGAAAAGTGGTTTAAAAGTTTAAAAATATATATATATTTTAATAAGTAAAAACCTTTTAATTGAGGTATTACCACTATGAATATGTGCACGCCTCAAAATGCTTATGAAATGTGGTTATAAAAATACTCCTGGGGCTGGGGATGTGGCTAGAGCAGTAAAAGCGCTTGCCTGGCATGTGCCTGGTGCTGGGTTCCATGCGCAGCACCACATAAAAATAAAATAAAGATGCTGTGTCCACCAAACAATGTAAAAAAATTAAAAATTCTCTCTCTCTCTCTCTCTCTGTCTCTCTCTCAAAAGAAAACAAACAAACAAACAAAAACAAACAAAAAAAACCAAACTCCTGAGATCCACAAACAGGGAAAAGAGTCAACCAGTCTCTCCAGGAAGTGAACTGATCACACCTAAATCCCTAATCTAATTAAGTGCTTGCAGGTGATTGGTGGATCTGGCAGGAAGTTAGTGGGTGTGGTCAGAAGGCTGAGCCATAAAAGACTGAAAACATGGACCAGGCTGTCATTTGAAGGCCTACTCCGAAGGAGAAGCTCTCTCCTCTGGAGATTCAGCAGGGAAACCTGGTGCTTACTGCTCCTGGAGACATGGAGGCAGCTTCACTCCACTGTGGAGGTGAGTCTCAGTTTGATGACTGTATAAAACCTGAATGTTCATCCAATACAGCTGATGCTAAAGTCTATTTGGGTCCTTCTCTACCTGCAGAGTCATCGTTTTCACCTTGCCCTGATGCACACTTAAAGAAGAATTCAGCTCCTGTGGGGCCACTGCTGGCTCCTAGAGGGAAACTTTGTCTGAACTGGCAGAGACCGTCGGCAGCTGGTGCTGGGCTGCAGAACATGGGAAACACTTGCTATGTGAATGCAGCCCTGCAGTGCCTGACATACACACCTCCCCTGGCCAACTACATG